TTCCCTACAGCCCAATACACGGGATCTTCAAAAAGTTCACGGAAAGTGCCTATTATAAAAAAATATAGGCTGGTCCCATAGCCCACGTGGCCAACCACAGTTCAAATCCTTGCACCAGCAGCTTGAAAACACACAAAGTGCATGTGTGTACGTGCCTCAAATCGCGACAGAATGGAGAAATGGAGGAGGGGCTGTAGGAGGGCACGGCCCCTTTGTGGGTGCCTTTTCCCTTCTATCTCTGCCTCTCTCTGACAAGTTCACATACCCTTTGGTAATTTAAAAAAAAAAAAATGATTTCAAATTTGTTTGCACCAAAACAAATTCTTAGTTTAATTTCATTTCCTGATTAATTTCATAAAAGGAGGACTTTTTCAAGTCCTCCTTATAGGAAAAGAAAGCAGTGAGTAGGGGACAAAATCCTAGGGAACATTGCCCTTTGAAGAAAGGGCACACGTAGCCCACAGACAGGCCGCACGGTCAACCAACGCAGCGGCAATCCCAGAGTGTGGTGTTACAGGGGGGAAGGCACAGGGGTGACAGCAAATCAGGCCTGCCACATGCAGCCAGGAGGCCCACAAGGTGAAGGTAGAAGTGCTTGCTACTGGGTCGTTGGAAAGTCAGAACATATTTTTTCATGGTTTTCTACACAAAAGGCATCATCACGGGACCAGCAGTTAGCGTAATGGCTATGTCACTGGACTCCCATGTAGTCAACCATGGTTCGAATCCTGGACCCAGTGGTTTAAACTCACGCCGGGCGCGTGTGCGTGCGTGCCCAAGATCCCGAGAGGAGAATGGAGGAGAAGGGACTGCAGCGTGGCCATCCCCCCTGGGGGGTGATTTCTGGCTTTCTGTCTCTCTGTCTCCCTCTGTCTTTCTAGCAAGCACACGCGTCCTATGGCAAAAACCTCTCCCAAAAAAAAGAAAAAGAAAAAGGCATCATCTCTGGAGAGCTCACAGAACAGTCACTGCTGGGTGTGAGCAGAAGCTAGAAGGTAAGAGCGGCATCCTCACCTCCACCCACACTCCCGCCCAAGGCTGTGCGTAGGCTTTTCACTGTAAGGGCCTGAGCCATCCCCTCACTGCACACCTCCTGAGCACCTACTATGTGCACCGCCATCACTGAGGCAGAAAAGCCAGCAAGCCTCACTGGCTGTCCTGGAGATCCACAAGGAGGCAGACCTGATGAGGATCATGATGAAGATCATTGTGCCATGCTGGACACATTCAGGGCACACTGAGGCACCGTGAGAGGGACCCTCTCACTGGTCTGCAATGAAGACTAGCAAAGCGTCCAACAGGAAAGACCCGAGCTCAGTCTTGAGGGATCCACAGGAATCTGCCAGGAACTGATCTCTTCTGAATGAAACTGAGGACACTGGAAGGGACAGGGTGCTCTGCCCCACATCCACATCCAAGAAAGAACAGTTCTGCTCAAACGTCACACCTTCATGGAACTTGACTGTATTACTCTGACCGCACAAAAAAAGTCCAGACTTAGACTGGTGGAAATGGAATGGCAGTATACTGTCTGAACGTGTTTGAAATAAAACTAAAATCTAGGACTACAAATTAGTTTTCTCAGAATTATTAAAATTAGAATCGATAGGGCCATCTGGTGGTGTGGTGGTTCAGGCGGCTGGATCCCACAAAGCCACCTGCACGTTTTGAATCCCAGACCCAGCGGCTTGTGGAACATTCCAGGCACATGTGCATGTGTGCCTAAAATTCAGAAAGGGGAAAGGAGGACCGGCCTTCTCCCTTGGAAGTAATTCTTGCTTTCTCTCTCTCTCTGTCTCTCTTGGTGAGCGCACACACCCTATGAAACAAGAAAAAATTAAAATCTATGTCTGAGAAAAGCAAACTATAATTATTTTCCAGATTTTCTTTCAAAAGGTACAATAAAACTTTCTATAGAAGTGTGAAAATCAAGGCAAAACTGTGATTTTGAAATCCACGCAGTGAACAAGGCTGAGTCGATCAAATTACACGGCGAATTTCCAGTATAAGGTCTGTGGCAGCCCTACCCTCACACACGGCCCGGAGGGGGCAGGGCACGGGAAAGGTCTACTCACTGTGCTTTCAAGAGTGCAGGACCAAGACGGGGTCCTTAAAGCAGATCTTTAAGTGGGAAAATAACTGGAGTGCCTACATTTTAATACTATAGACAACAGTACAGCAAGCTCATCAGTGACTAAAACTGTTGTGTGACATCTGTCTCCTCACTGCCATCAACTCTCACGGTCCTGTTTAATTCAGTTAATTTTCACCCATGTCAAAAATGTTAGCTTAACTGTGAGATTTCTGAAAATGGGAAGCATGAAATACAGATTATCTGTACCTCTCAAAATGCATCAAATATCTTTGAATGAGGCTTCAGATGGGAAAACAGATACTCATTCAATGCAAATTATATAACTTCACCCTTTTCTCCTTATGGCCTGTTATTAAATGTTCACCCACAATCCCACCTCACCCAGCTGGGGACTCTGGCTACAGCCAGCACTACATATGAACGACCGCAGAATCGTGACCTTTGCTTCTCACTACTATCTCCTTAACAAAACCAAATACCAAATCAAACCTAAAACTTCCAGAAAGCATAAAAGCCACATCTTTTCTCATATTCACATCTACGCCTAAAGATCTATATGTTCTTATCCCCAATCCTATGGATATACTTAAGTATGACCATTGGCATTTCTCCCGTGAAATTTATGCTAACCAGAGACATCACCCACAGTGAGAAGAGCCTTTTAGGCAGCATTCCACAACTCCTGTAGTTTGAGTTTCAATTCCATAAAATAAAACAATTGCTTTGAAAGCTACAATATATACCACCATTTTCAAAA